CTTCACTCCCTGTTTCAGCAAAGCCCTTAAAATTGGGGCATTTTCCAATCGATGGGCAGGAGACTCCCTCTCAGATATAGCTTGTAGGCCAGGGGTGTCCAGCCTTGGCAACTTTAAGGCTCGTGGACTTCAATTCCCAGAATTCCCCAGCCAGCACAGCTCAACCAAGCCAGCACAACAAAGTTCACTGAATTTTCTGTGTTACGTCTGTGTGTAAATAAATGAGCCAGCATCTCCTCAGCTCCCAGTTCGGCGATGAGACACTGGGAAGTGCCAGGTGGCCTCCAGTGGCCTCCTCCCACCTCTACCAGGTCTAGGTTTGCTCACGCCCACGAGCACCAGCCGCCCCTTACGTTTTCCTCCCCAACAGGTCACGTTGGGGACGGTGGTCAGGAGATCTTGGCCACCCATCCACCACAATGCACCCATGGACTTGGAAGGGAGGTCTCCTTCTGGGACAGGCCTTCAGAAGACCCACCTGCGCCCTTTCCTCTTTCCTGTCTTGCAGATATTGAAGGACCCCACCAAGCCCAAGGCCAAGGGGAATTTCTGGACCGTAGACGTGCAGCTCATCCCACCGGAAGCTCTGAAGCTCCAGAACACGGCCATTTCCCGTCAAGAGGAGAAGACCTTCACGGTCGACCTGGCTCCCTTCGTGTTCCACGGCTGGGCTTTCAAAGCCCCCCAACCTCCCCTCAGTGGGCCCACCCCGGAGGGGAGTGGGTTTCCCAGCAGCGAAGGGGGCTGTCAGAGCAGCCCCTTCAGCACTGACGACTTGCTCCACGATTTCCAGGGCGTGGGCCTCTCGGGGGAAGCCAGGGCCGAAAGTGGGCCGCCTCGGAGCCCCACAGCTGCCTCCAAAGTCTGGGGCACGGTCCCCATCTTCCAGGTCTCCTCTGGGGCCCCAGTCCATCCCTGGCGGCCCCTGGGCCCTCTGCCCGTGCTCCGCTCCCTCTCGGCCTCCAGCAGCCCTGCCTCCCTCCGCTCCTTGTCCCCCAGTGACGAGCCAAAAAAGGGGGGCAGCACCTCGATTTTGGCCAAGCGCCCCAGAATCGTCCACCCGGCCCCCGAGACCAGCGACTCCGATTCCAGCGAGGAGACTCCACCTCCTGCTGACCCCTTCTGGGAACAGCTCCCCACTTCCTACACCCCATGCGTGGCTCCCAATGTGGTGGTGGCACCCCAAAGCCACACGCTGCCCTCCGCTTTTCCCCCCAACCCTGCCTTTCCCCCCTACGGCCCCAAGCCTTTGGCACACCCAGCACACTGGGAGCTGGTGCCACGGTCGTCCTTGAGTCCGGCCCCCGGGGTGGACTTGGGCCTGGACGAAGCCATGCCTCCCAACAAGACGGTGTTTGATACCTGGACGAGCCGTCCCCTGGACCTCGTCCACCCAGCCTTCCCCCAGACCAGCCCTCCTCCCCGCAGCTCAGTCTTGACCCACTATGACACCTCCTGAGGACAGCCTTTGGCCAGGGGGTGGACAGTTGGCCAGACACGGCAGCGAAGGCATTTTGGCCAGGGATGACCGCCGCCATCTACTTTCTCAGCCCTTCTGGTCCCAGCAACTCCACAGGACAACGCAGCAGTCCTCTATCAACCCAACCATCCAGATGTTCCTGCTCTACTCCCTCAGGAAAACAGTAACTCTCCATCAGGAACCATCTTATCATCTGTGGGATGTCATGGTACCGAAAGATGAAGCTCTTCAAAGAACATTGAGGCATTGTTTACCTTAAATCAGTGTTTCTCAACCTTGACCATTTTAAGGCATGTGGACTTCAACTCCCAGAATTCCACAGCCAGCATTGCTGGCTGTGGAATTCTGGGAGTTGAAGTCCACATGCCTTAAAATTGTCAAGGTTGAGAAACACTGCCTTAAATAATCTTTTAATTGCAACATAGCTTCCCCACGTACATAGAGAAGCCTAAATCTGAATTCTCCTCCCCAACAAAGTATAACTCACTCCTTCATTTAACACTCATTAATCACATTCTCCAATTAGTTTGACCTGTGAACTTTTCCTCCCGTTATCTCCTCTTATTGCAACTAACCTTGAAAAATACCCTACTGAAATATTGTTATGGCTAACTAATCCCCAAGTACCTTCTTCCCCCACTCCCTTCCAGCACTATCTAATTTTAACACAGGTTAAATAGAAAATGTCTTCATCATATATTGTCAAGCAAAAACATCCGATGTTAGCAGCATTGACATGGAGATTCTCCATCATCCAGGCTGGGGTTGTCCCAAAAGTGCTTTTTTCCAAAAGGCAACTCGACTTTCCTGGGTTTTTTTCCCCTTTGAAATCATTTCGCTTTTCATCCAAGATGCTTCTTCAGTTGTGAGAAGTGACTTCTGGGAGTTGAAGTCCACCAGGTCTTAAAGTGGCCAAGATTGGACAGCCCTGGTTTAACCTATCATCCACATGACCAGGAGACAGGCCCTAACCCAGGGGTAGGCCACCGTGGCTCTTTTATGACTGGTGGACTTCAACTCCCAGAATTCCTGAGCCAGCCTGGCTCAGTTTGGAAACCTCTCCCTTTCCCCTCAGCGTGGCTGGCTCAGGAATTCTGGGAGTTGAAGTCCACGAGTCATAAAGCGGCCTAGGCCAGAGGTAGGCAACCTTGGCTCTTTTATGACTCGTGGACTTCAACTCCCAGAATTCCTGAGCCTGCATGGGGGAACTATGGCCCCCTCATGACTCGTGGACTTCAACTCCCAGAATTCCTGAGCCAGCATGGGGGAGCTATGGCCCCTTCATGACTCGTGGACTTCAACTCCCAGAATTCCTGAGCCAGCATGGGGGAACTATGGCCCCTTCATGACTCGTGGACTTCAACTCCCAGAATTCCTGAGCCAGCATGGGGGAGCTATGGCCCTTCATGACTCGTGGACTTCAACTCCCAGAATTCCTGAGCCAGCATGGGGG